TTAATATTTATGATTCATTCAATTAATCAAATTGATGATGGTTTGACGGTCGTAATTATTAGTTTGGTCCTTTGGTTAGGTAAAATTATTATATTTTTTTAAAATATTTGTGGGTCTTTTGTTCTAAATCTCCTCTAATCTTCCTTCTCTTCTAATTTCAGTTTCAAGCGTATTGATGTTTACACGTTACATCACTTACAGTATGCCAGCAAAATTATATTTAATTGATACAATACACGATGCTTTACAATTGATTGCATTAGGAATTATTGTTTTTTATTTTCATTAAAAAATATTTTTTTACAATTACGAATTAAATACCGCTGATTTTTTTTTTTTAAATTTGACGCTTAATACTTTTTTTCTTGACGTTTGCAGGTTTTGATTTGTTCGCTTGTTCAATGCTACTCCAATCACCCCATGTTGGTGGTTTCCATGAATCATCTTCTTCATTTGTATGGTCGTATTCATAACGATAATGACGAAACTCGACAGGTACACTTTTGAAAAATGTATCAGTATTTGCCCATTCAATAGGAACATCTTTACATTCTCTCCAAAAACCCAATGCCAATTTTGTTAAATCATCAAACGCTTGTGCACTCAGTCTGAACTTATCTTCAAATGTTTCGGACATACAAGGAATTATTTCTTGTACTGGTACCATTGGACAAGGTGGTGAAAAATCTGCATTTGGATTTGGAATGTATGGACTTGGTGGTACATCATCATCATAATAATTAAAATTAGGCACTCTTCGACGATATGCTCTATTATTGTTGCTGTTGTTAATATTATTGTATCTACTACGATTATTCTTTACTCTTCTTGCTCCGGTAACACCAGCAACGCCACTATTACCACTACCGCTACTACTACTAGAACTAGCACTACTAACATAATAATTTTGACCAACGTTCACTCCTAAATCATCATCGTTGTCTGTAGAATCTTGTCGTAAATTAAAGGTGTGATGATCTTGATCATAATTTCTTTCGTTAGGATAGTTTTGATCGTTATTATTATTATATTTACTACGACTCCTTGGATTATTATAACTATTATTGTTATTATTACTGATGTTTTTTTTAGGTTTTATTAATCTTGGAGCCTCCACAAATACATGCTTCTCTTCAACAACTTTAGAAAAATGCCATTCACTGTCACTAAGGTAATCACCCTTCATTTTTTATTGTAATTATTATTAAATAAATATATGTAAATTTAAATAATTTATTTATGAAATATATGAAATAATTATTA